AACAGCTATAAGAATAGTTTTTCTTGGAATCTCACATTGTTTTAGATTTATTTTTACTCTTTATATTGCTAACTAAAACTTGACAAATCTTTCAATTTTTTTTTAAATAAAACAAATTTTTAAGCAATATAGTTTTTTAGAAATTTTTCCATTTTATTCTGCAATATTTGATACCGTGGTTTCAATTTTTCAATGTGGAATAACGGTAAATAAGACATTATATTTTTTAAAACAATTAATATGACATTTTTAAACAGGATATTTCTCCGAAGAGCACAAATTTCTTGCGATATTTAGTAATTTCAAGTTTTTCTGCTCCACTCTTAGATAGTAATTCACTTAAAAAATTAATCGTGAATTTTCTAAAACTATCCTAAATATTACTAGATGAAAATAAAATTTAATTTTAAAAAAGATTTTTTTATTCTTTAAAAAAAATCTTTTCGATAATCTATCCGTAAAAAAGAGTTTCTAGAGAAAATCTAAGCTATAAAAATTTCCAAATCATCCTGCATAACCGAGGGCTATTACATAGGCTTTCTTTAAAGCTTACCCTATAAGCCTTTCTCCTATGGTAATAACACCAAACTCCCTACAAAGCGACCCTTTCGAATATAAAGCCCTTATCATTGTTGACACAGAGGTCACAGTGTCACATGACCTAAGCGCCCTCGTACACTGAAACCGTAAAAGAATAAAGTCAAGAATTTACATCGGCGGCCTTTTTTAATACCGAATAATGTCTTTTCGATATTGAGTCTATCGTGGGTTCGCTTGTATATAGGGTTGAGTTAAGTGGAATCTTTAAAGCATATCGGATTCGCATAGTCTCCTCGCTTCAGCTAGATTTAAAGAGACTATTTATATAAATGACCCGAGTCGCTGTAAGGCGAGATAAGAGATTCTCGCGTCTCAAAATTGGTTTATTGTTTATGAGGAATTAAAGGTGGAGGTTTGATTTTTTGACAGTTTTGGAATTGAGCAGTCAGGTGCTCTCGCTTTCCTGGATTTACTCCCTCCTCGCTTTCAATGTTACAGAAATCTAAATTTAAGAGTGTTTTAAATGTTTTGGTACACATAGGAGATGATACAAAACAAACTTTTGTCAGCTCAAGATTATATTGAAATATCGTCCTGAAAATGTTACATTGTTCTGGGAGTTCAAATGTTTCTTAAGTTTATTTTTATCAGTGAAAGACTATCCAGGAATGTTTGAATTATTTTTTTAAAATTAAAATGCAAGTAAAAACTAAGAGAAGACATGTTTGAATTATTAAATAATACAAGATAAATTTGCTTAAGTTTCTTTTAAATAAATAATCCCAAGAAAATGAAGTGATAAGATATCATTAAATCAAAAACTTCATTCTCTCCAAAAATTTACAAATTGGAAATAATTGTAAACGTGTTTGAAGAGTTCAACCTCAATCGCATCAGCTCATCTTGATAACCTGGAATCTTGTTTTATTCATACGAATGCTGATTCCCTACATTAGTTCCTCACCACCTCTCCATAGAGCGCGAAAAGGCGATTTACCCTGATTATTCTCTCTCAGCCACTGTGGTGTTTCTAGTTTTGTTTCTCATCTTTATTTTTTTCTTTTTTGTTGGCAACCTTTCGTTTTATTTTTCGAATCACTTTTCTTGCTTCTCATTCACATCTGGTAGTCTTGAAAGTGAACACCTGTTTTTGAGTGCTTGAAATATATTGATTGTTGATTCTAATTTGAATATTTTTGTAGCGAATGAAGTTTTCAATCAAGTAACAAGCTTCTTTTATTTTAAACAAAAATATCTTTCATCGTCATTTTTGAGGGAGATTTAATTATTGAAAGATAAATGTAGTTGTTTACTAATAAGGGAAAAGAACATTATATCAGTTCTCCAGTATTAAATTGATGTCCAATTAATTCAATATTTTAAACAATTTTTCATTTCAAAAAGTTGCCTTTATTGTTATAAATTATGAAATTTGTTTAGTGTTTGATCGAATAAAAGGGTACAATTTAATTAAAATTTTATAGTTTCGTACTTGTCTGATAAAAAAGAGTTTGCTTTATGCTATATGTTTTATTAAATATTATTCAATAATACAATCATTATTTAATAAAATATTATTATTTAATAAAACATATTATGCCACATAATTTAAATTTATTCCATTCTTACAATTTTCATTTCAAATTTTTTTTTCAAGCATGTAAATATTTTATTTATTACGATCAATTTTTATTAACTACTATGAAAATATTTTGCAGTTTATCAAACAAAAAACAGTTTCATATGCAAAATCACATTAAAAAGACAAATGAAATATTTCGACATTTTTGTATTTTTATTTATTTATTTATTTGCTAATGTTATTTTTTTAAATTTTTTCTGGACAGCAATTTAAATTTAAAATTAACTAAAGAAGGAATATAAAAACTAACGCAATTAGGTTAGAAAAACAAATACACGTTTCTTAAGAAAACATTTTCAATTAACTTGATTAACAATTTTATAATCCTTACAAGTTATATATATTCTAAAAGCAACGTGTATCTTTCATTGATTAAAAGAAGTTAAAACTTGCATTTTAATTGGAAACAAAAAATAAGTAAAATAAAAAGAGAGAAGACTAAATATATTTGAATATATATATTTCAACTAAGGGGAAAAAAACTAAATTTATTTCTACAAAAAACTTGCTTAAAAGAGGGGGAAAGGGAGAGAAAATGGAGATATTTCTTTATACACATTACACATTGCTTTTGTTGGTGGGGAGAATTTCGAACAGAAAAAAAAATAGAAGAGCCCCCTTTGAGTTGTCACCTTTTGTGTGGACGCTGTTTTGGGATGTCAATGCCACGTGACGGTTCCCGACAAATCACAAGTCTCCATTCAGCATCTACGATACTTGTGTGAGTCCCCTTAAATCGTCAAAGAAAGTGTCTAAGCTTTCCCTAACTTATAAATGGATTCGTCTGGGATGATGTAATGAAGGATGTTACTATGGATACCTATATTCATCTCTGTATTTTTCCTGGGGCTATATAACCTTAACCATCAAACCTAGACAAGCTTTTTTTTATATATTTATATATATTTTTTCCATCTTCTGACTCTTAAGACCGAAAGATTAAATATATGTATTTTGAATTCTTTACCTACATATTAATAAGCAGGTGAATAAAAGTTAAAAGCAGTTAACAAAATAAGTATATATATTTAAGAAGTATAAGCATTTTAAATATTCAAAGAGTATAAGCCTTTTAACTATTCAAAGAATATAGGCATTCCTGTAATTGCTCTTACATCATGGAATTCTCTTCGGTTAAATGTTTGTTTTAAGAAGAGGAAGAAGGAAATTGAAGAAAAAGATCAATTACTAAGAGAGTTTGTTTTAGCATCAGTAAAACTTTGGTATTACAATTATTTTTAACAGTCCGTTGAAATTGAGCATTAATTTTAAGAAAATGAAAATTTAACTTTTTTATTATCTGCTAATTTACTTCACCAATTATTGAAATAAATCGACAATTATTTAGTTTTTAAAATTAAACGATTTGCCTACCAAATTTCAGGCCCCTAGCGATATTCACCCGATCTATAAAGCTCAAAGCATTGGTAAATTTTCATTCGTTTTTTAAAAAAAATCTCTTAATTTATAAAATTCGTAGAGGCTGGGATAGCCTGATTTGTAGGACGCTGGGTTAGTGTTTGTGAGAACGGGAGTTTGAACCATAGAGTTGAAATAGTAGGTAGAGGAACCAAGTTCGCTTTATTCCTTCCGAAAAGACACGCCACAGATAACAAGCAAAGAGTTACAATCACGTGATGGAAAGAGTGCAATACTTGGCACAGTATCACAAATGTTGGCGCACTAAGTAACTAAGTTTTTAACAGCTTTTTTTCGATATTACCGATGCGCAAATAATCGGAGCATTTGAAAGAGANCCCTGACCGAAGAATGGTGACTAGTAAACGTTAAATCTGTTGGGGTCACAAAGTCCTCCAATTTCTCATAACAAATCAATATCTCTGAGGGTACTTAATTGGAGATTGTTCGTCTTTTGGTTCAGATAAAAATTACAACATATGGATGAATGAATGGAGTATGATTGGGTCCTCTCTGTAAAGCGGGCTGTGACGTGTGTGTGACTGAATTCGAATTCTAGGCCATAGATGGTGACTCTGAAAAAACAAGAAATGCACCCTCAGCCTTAAAAACTTGATTGCTTTCAAATAAAACTTGTTGATTGGCAAGTGTCATAAGCATAAGGAGCAACATAAAATTCGTTAATATTCGAACATTGTGTTGTACCTAACATTTAATCATGTTTTAAACTAAAATTTCGAAGATCTGTAATATCAGAAAATGCAAGTAATATTCATTGAAATAATAACTTCGTCGGGTACATGGAAGAGTAACATTAAATAAAAGATAGTAAAAAAATTGAAACTACTCAGTATTTCACTTCACGTATTTCGGGAATATCATAATATACAATAATCATGACTAATATGACCGCAAACGCAAGCAAGAATCATTATTTAATACATGGCAGCAAATGCAAGCAAGAATAGTAAAAAAAATATGGCAGCAAGCGTAATGCAGAAACATTAACATGCCCACAAAGCTAGGGACTGAAGGAAATAAGACGAGTCACAATAATGGTAATTTGTAATAAAAGACAAGCTTAAGCAGCAATTTTATTAAAAATAAATGCTTCACAAGAGGTATTTGACGTTGCAAACAGCAGCTGTTTTACATGCCACTATTCGCAATCGCAAGAATGCTAATTTGGTATAAATTATTTAAAAAAGTCTGCATCTGCAATGCATTTGCTACCATTTATTCCTCTATGATTCTTGCTGTGCTATGATACTCCTGACTTTCAAGTTGAATTTTGAATAATTTTTAAATAAACTTTTGATGCTTGTTTCAGACTTTTTGGAAAGTGTTTTCTCACTTTTTTCAATTTATATTCAATGAATAGATAATGTATTTAACTCACTTTCTGCTCTAACTTGATTGGAAGCTCCTTTCATGTAAAATGGTGTCGTACCTGGTCGTGGAAGCTCAAGAGCGGGACTGGAAGTTCCAAATGATCCAACGTAACCAGCATGAACGGGAGTTAGGCAACTATTTGTTTGATTCCAGTTCCTTTTTTTAATGTAAGAAAATTAATTATATATATAAAGGTTCACAGTAAAAAATTCCAATAAAAAGTTCATTTTTACCGGATCATGTTACAGAACAAAAGATCTTATATACGCAATTTTTATGGTGATAATTGCCGTAAAATCACTCTAATTAAACAAAAATTGTAAAAATTACGGTATAATATTTTACGGTAAAAATGAACTTTGCGGTAAAATCGTTTGTATAGATGATGCATGCAAAGTGCCGGTACTTTATGCCATAATTTGATCTGGAATTTTTAACATTTACTTATTTGCCATTAAAATATGCTACTGATTTGATTTTTAAAATAAAGATGGGATCAATTAAAACGAATTTTTTTATGGAATCAATTAAAGGAAGTAAGGATGGGATCAATTAATTGAATAGTTTCTACAAATTCAACAACACCAGTAACAAGTTCTAAAACAACTTTCCTGACGTTTAGCATATTTTTATCTATAAAAGTCGTTACAGTATATACTTTTAAAGATGAGAATCCTCTGGGAATTATTTTTTGACGTTTTCATACTATAATTTTCATTCAAATCTAATAAATTCATTCTTTTATTTTTGAATTTAAGTTATTATTATTTCCTAAATATAAATTATTACCAGATTCATTCAACTATACAAATCATGCAATTTCTTAAAAAAGTGTCAAAATGAAACTATATTTGCTAAAAGACCAAAATAAAAGAATATTCCAAAGAATAAAATTTTATAATTTTAATGGAAGTCAATGATTTTTCGAAAAAAAAAACTTTAGGTGTTTTATTTTAGTAAATTCAGTACAATTGTATTTTTAATGCATTTGAATATTTTTAAATATTGTAATTTTGGACGGTACCTACAGATTATGCATTAAGTCTATTCTTCGTAAGATATTTTAAGATAGTTATAGTTTGTACTTCTAAATAACAAATGATTTTTAGAAATATTATATTTCCAGGTCAAAACATAACTACATATTAAAGAAGAATCAATTTTTAGTTCTGAGATTTTTTTTAAAAAACTTATTTATATCATAATTGTTAATAGGACTTCTATATAAAGATTAGTTGAGTATTAAGGTGCGCTGAAGTATTGCACACGTTGTATGGGTCAGTAGAGTTTAGAAAGAATGGAAATATAGATTTTAATAAGGCTATCTGCTTCTGAATACAGGTTTAGTAAGAATGCATTTTTTCAGATAAAAAAAGCTAATAACTGAAATAAAAATTTTAAATTTTTCAATGGAGAAAATATTCAAATTTGCCCCTGAAACTTAATATTTAAAAATATTTTTATTCATCAGAACATTTAAAAACATTATGCTTAAAAAATATAAATTTTCAGTTTGAAATTTCTTCTAGCTTATTAATTTATGGATCAAATACTTAAATTGGTTTTAATAAATTTATTTCAGTACTACTATCCATCCTTCACACAAAAAAATGCTCAAGATTCACAACCAATGCTAACTTACCAGCTACCAGTATCTCCTTGTTGTACTGATGTATCGTTGTAAAAGTCATGTTTATTTGAAATGACGTCATCACATGATCCTTCTATAGGCCTCCAATCACAACCAGCGGCATAATAATAATGTCTTAGTTGCCTTGGATGAGGATGCAGAGAACTTGCTCTCATTTTCAAACAAGAATCACTGAATGTTGGTCTGTTGGATAAAGGACTAGCAGACCTTTGTCCGTGATAAAAACCACATGTTCTGTGTAGGCAACAATCGGAATTATTCAGATCAGATGGTTGATCGGCTTTCATTACTGATCTGCAATGATGATTAATTTAAACTGTGTTTGTTTTACCTTTTTCAGTCTTCCTGTAAAAACATCAGAATGTTTCAGTTTCAGTGTTAATTAGAAATAAAAAACATTATTGAAACATGAAAATAATAATATCAATGAAATAATCAGCCGATTTTCAAATTTGATTGTTAAAAGTATTCATTTAAATCCAATTGTCAATATATATATAGATTATGTTACGATTAATTTTCAGATTAAATATGAGTAATTACGATTATTTTCATCTAAATTCTTATTTTTAAGATCAATTAATGTATACGTAGAGACTAATATATATTATATACACTGGTGTGCAAAATTTAAGCAACAAGTGGTTTTTCGGTCACAGCTCCCCAACAAAGTATAAGATAGCCATGAAATTGCAGCATAATATGCACGTAATTCAGTAGAAAGATTATTTTTATGCAAATTTTAGAAATAAANTGATAAAGGACTAGCAGACCTTTGTCCGTGATAAAAACCACATGTTCTGTGTAGGCAACAATCGGAATTATTCAGATCAGATGGTTGATCGGCTTTCATTACTGATCTGCAATGATGATTAATTTAAATATAATGACATCAAGCGCAAGAAGGCTGGACTTATGATTTAAATATATTATATCATTAATATTTATATATCATTAATAAATGTTTATTACAAATATAGTGAGTTATATAGGAAATGGACATTAATATATTATTGCTTTTAACTTTTTAACACATTTAAATGGATTAAGAGAATTTTTCTAAGATGGTGATTGCGACACTTTATTTTAGAACTCATATTTCCGTATGTATGGATGAAGAATTAATGGAAGTTAAATGGAAGGATTAATCAGTTAAATTTTACTTGTTTTCCTTTAATTTCTGTTTAGAAAAATTTTAACTACATTTACTAAACTACATTTTAACTACATTACGTATTACTAAATATGTTTACTAAATGATGGAATGTTTATTGTAACCCAAGTATTAATATATAATATATATTAACATTTATTATCTCAGTAAAAAAAAGAACAAAGGAATCATTGGTAACTGATCAATTACAGTCGAAAACAAAGTTTAAAAAAAGGTACTTCTTTAGAAAGGGTTCTTTTATTTTTCCTTTTAGAGTACCTGAAATAAACTATTCTGTAGATATATACCTCCGTTAAAAAACGAAACCAGATGTAATATCAATGTTTTAAAATAAAATTTGTTGTGTTTGTTTGAATGGTGCTCAGTTTAAATTTTTAAATTAATTACTTTTGATCTTGAACGATTTATAAATATTTTCTGTTAAATTTAAGAACTTTCACTTTTTTTTATTTGAAACAGATTGCGATAAGCAAATTGCCTCGAAAAACATTGTGTTTTTAAATTTGACATTTTAGATTAATGTTTTAATAGAATAAGAGTGTATTATAATTAACTGTAACTTTTGTCCTCGAGCTCCGATGCATTATTAGTAAATTAAAAAACAAATAAAGAAAGGGCATAAAAAGTAAGTTGAAGTTCTAGCTTTAGACTGAAATATTTTCTGTTGATGGAACAAACTCGTGCAAGGTTTCTTTCGATTTTAAAATCAAGAACGGTGTTAGAAGGGGAGTCTCGCAGACAGAACAAAATAAAATAAATCCACATAGAATCCCTCCCCCATCCCGTCAACCCTTGAAGTGCTATATACTCTATCTTGTATAGGTAGAGTATATGTTACCCATAGCTCACTGCTTAAGTTGCAAATATGTTGGTCTACTGGACAAAAAGGCACACTATACAGAATTCGTTATTTTTTTTATTCCATTTTATTTTGTTATCTTCACCCTAGAGTAGGACAGAAAGGGGGGCTCCGAACTAGTAGAGCGATCGCAGAGAGGGATGCTCGTAATGTAGCTCTTGGGGTTGGAGACTTCATTCGATTTGGGGTGGTCCAAAAGAATGAGGTGCTGAAAAGGTTCTTTTTCCTCGAAAGTTTTTTGTGTTCTTGTTGTCCTACTATATTCAATCCAAATTCGGTTTTCTAGGAAAAGTTTCGTCGAACAGTATGCTTTTTTTTTGTTTATTTCGTTTTATACAATTCTATATATACATTTCATAGTTTAGTTTGATACTCAAATTTCCCTAAAAAGTGATCCTTTAAATCCTGATTTCTGTTTATTTTGACTAAATAGAAGGATACATAGATTTAATTGCATAATATTTAGCACCATACATCATAGCAACGTATAATCAAATATTTCAAATATTAAATCAAACAACAGCAATTGAATGCGATGAAAATATTTAGATCATTGAATTGTTGACAATCATATTTCACTCATATAAAATGGGCATGTGATTGCGAAGGTCAATGGCGTAACAATTTAATCCAATAATTATCAAAGTAACGTCATCTAGAAAATTACTAAAATTACTTAATATTTTATATACAAGTGCTTGCAAAAATCTTTGTCCAAGGAAGAAAATCATAACTAATAGAGTGAAAAATAAAAACAAAATTAACTTTTTATACTGTGTTTTTTATATTCTAACAAAATATAAATGCAAAATTTCATTATTGAACACAAAAGTTAAATTAACCATTACTTTGCTTTCATGTCGCGCAGTGGACTGATCGTAAGGACACGGTTCCCAGTAGAACACCGAAGTCAAACATCACTGGCTGCAGTCAGTAAGCGGGTGGGTGGCCATTTTGATCAGCCCACGTAGGAACCGAGGGTGCGTGGTATCGGTCTTCATTACACTGTTCTACCGTAAAGTGCTCGACTTCGCGTGCAGGGGGTCAGACTACCAAAACAGAGGAGAAATCCCCTCTGCAGAGGATCAAAATTACAATGGCCTGTCTTCTGATCATTCTCAGGAATATTTCCCATACCCTCGCCAGTAGCCCATTGTGCAGCTATAGTGCGACGTAAATGAAGTACCTACCTACTTTGCTTTTATTGATACGACCTCTTTTAGCAAGTATTACACCTCTGCACGCACAAAGATTCTGGGTCAAATTACGGTAAAAGTACCTGCTTCCTAAGTATCCCGTAATTTGATCCGAAGTTTTTACAGCGTGCACAATTTTGACATTTGACAGACAAATATGCAGTGTTTTGTTGCCAGTATTTTTCCAGGTTATTCTAAACATTAGCGCAATCAAACCACCCTCTTTAAAGATTCATTTGAATCATTACACGAATCTGCTAACAAACTAACTCGTCTCACTATTTATTCACTCGAGATCTGATGACTGCGGGAAGAGGCCATGACATTGCTATGACAAATTTTCACTTTTCTTTTGATTTCAAATATTTACAACACAGTTTGGGGTCATAATCTTGTTGAGGAATGACTCCATTTTGGTTTTCGTCCCAGAGTAAACAACATGAAAAATTAAGACATAACATCTTATTATTTCGCCTGTTATTGAATTTTTGTCAAATCTCTAATACTTCCTTAAAAAAAAAATTAAAAAATTAAGTCCTTCTCCTTGTTCCATTCGCGACTTTATTAACTTTCCTGCATTATTTCTTCAATATTTTTTCGAACATGCATTTACCATTTTTTTTCTAAACTACAAACTTGGTATAATTGATGCAAAATAATAATAATAGTTCTATTGATTTAATGATTGATTTGCCTTATTTCGATGTTAGTAAGTTAAATGAAGACGTTACACCTAATTTTCTTATCTCTAGATAGATTTTCTGTAAAATATTCGACCGAAAACTTCTCCGCGCTGTCACCCTTTAACAGCGTGGAGTAAAACTGAAGTTTATGTGTTACTTTAGTGATATCAGTAGCTTCAAACCTTCTATTTAGCTTTTTTCGTAATAATAATACACTTTTATTTTATTTTTGTTGTGAGTTAGAGTCAACGCACAGAATGTTTCCATGTGCCATTTATCCCTGTTACTATTAAAACAAGGGACAATAAACCAGGGACAACTGGCATTTGCTAAGACGCTCGTAAACATATAAATCCTCTGAATTAATGCTTTGCATAATACAACTTGTTTATAAGCATCAAAAGGTTTATACCTATATTGCCCAAAAGCATTCAAAATGACAGGATTGTGAAAGAATAACTAATGTGTGAAGAAATTTGTTTAAAATTATTTTTTAATATTTTTTATATTATTTACAGTTATATAACAAGTTATTAGTAAACATAAACAATAAAAAAAATTATATGCTGTACAAAAAGACACAAAATTCTAAGAAATTGTGTCATTATGTACAGCATTGTTTTTCCAATTGAAATTAAAAAGCAGATGACTTCCTTGGACAATCTAGTGTTAAACAACAAAGATTAAAATTTGCATTCCAAGAAACAAAACAATCCTGATTTTTTTTTTAATTTAATGTGGTTTTTTATAATTTGAAATGAATTATGGATTCTATCCGAAATACAAGAGTAATGGGGTATGAGTATGGGAATACCAAAATACAAGAGTAATTTTTACTGCAGTGCTTTGGTAATTACATCTAGTAAAATTAGCTAAAAATATGGTTTTATAGTCATGATGTTTGATAGTAGACGGGGTAAAACTTCATAATTTTTCAAAAAAATTTCAGTAATTTTGATAACATTAATATAATTATGGATTTTATCTAAAAATTATATTTGACTATTATTTCTTCTTATAATATCATTTCTTTTTTTTTTTCCATTCTGATAAAAGCCAACTTTAAGATATGAAAGGCTCAGGATTATGAATTGGCAGTTTTTTCAAAGGTAACATTTTCATGTACAACTGTTTCTTAGCATTAAAGACGGTACTTAATAAATTTTTGAGATTTTCACTATATAGCAACACAGTAAGCTTCTAGTTTCTTATCGCCTATATAGAAATCGTGATGTTTTAATTTTAAGCCAAACATTGTGCAATAAAATTCTATTACCCAAGGCCTTTCAAAAAAAAAACTTTCAGAAACATAAACCTTTTTTTCCTTTCAAACCTACTTAACCTGTAAGTGCCTATAATGACTTTTAAGTAGGGATTTTCGATTTTAACTCCTTTGGAAAAGAATTAGAATCCACATAAAAGAATTAAAAAAA